TCTCCAGTATTGCTTCCAAGCTCGTTCCCCCAAAACTGACTCTGGAAAGGCAGGAGGGATGGGGGTCCCCAGCACCCAGCTCCCCTCTGCAGCCCCTGGGTGCCCCTTTTTCCTTGGGTCCCACAGGTGACGGTGCGCGTGAAGGTGGAAGAAGTGGCCCCAGGGGATGGGGAGGACCCCGAAGCAGCAGGGGACCCAGTGAGCCCCCCATCGGAGTCAGCCCAGCTCCCCTCTGTGGACGGCTGGCGGGAGGGAGTGGCCCGGGATAAGGTCAAGCTTGTCCCTGAGGAAGAGGAGCATCAGCATCAGCATCTGCAGGAAGCAGGTAATGGGCTGAAGGAGAGAGACCTTCTTCCCCCCACCCCCCCAAAAAAAGGGGGTGAAGAAGATGCTGTAGGAGCTGGGGGGGCTTGGAGATGGTGGGGTGTCTCCTGCAATGGGCTTGGCCTCGTCTGGTTCTCCCCACAGATGCTCCCACGGTGTCATTGCTCTTTTTGGGGGCAGTTTTGTCACTTTTGGTGGAGGATGAGTGAGAGCGACAGGGGGGGAAAGGTCAAAAATGAGGTCCTGGTGCTGGGAAAACTCTTGGGGTACTGAGGAAAAGGAAAAAGACATGACCTCAAGAAGGATCTGGATGGAGACACCCGCAGTGGTGTCACCATATGTGACCTTGAGCCCTGTTGCGGTGTGAGAAGAAAGGTCTCCTTGGGCTCCAAAGCCAAACTGAAGTGAGAAGGGCTGGGAGATGCATTTGAGATGTCCACACCAGCGTGGGAAGCTGGAAGATGGCCATCTCTTGAGTTGCAGAGAAGCTGGAGAAGGATGGAGACCTTGGAGAGAAGATCATGAGCATTCGTAAAGAGCTCTTGTACTCCCTCTGCAAACCATGAGCCCCAAAAACTTGTTCCCTTCCTCCAGCATCAGCTTCTCCTTCATGGAAACGCTGCTTTAAAGAGTTGTGGTGTACCAGGGATGATGGTTGGAGCATGGTGGGCTCCTCCCCAAGTCCTCCTGCAGCCATCCTTGCCTACCTGACCCAGCTGGGCTCCTCTGTTGACGTGGCCTCGTCTTCATCCTTGTCCCGCCATGGCCTGGTACCGGCGCTGCATGGTGGTGGTGCCATGGATGGATTTGGGGGTTCGGTCAACAGTGGGAGCTGGACCACCTCTGCAATTGCTGGAGGAGACCGAGGGTGGTGGGGTCAGAGAAGGGTGGTGTCCTCCCTTGAGAACCAATTCATGAAACATCTTCTTCGCCCCCAGCAGGTCCCACTACGGCGAGCAGAGATCCTGAGGCATCCATTTTGCCACGGCAAGATCCCCCACACCCACCCAGCACCCTTCAGGGTGTCCCCGTGGCCAGGGCCCCTGTCCGGAGGGGGACCTACCGGCAGCAGATCCCACAGGATCCCACCATTTTACCACAGCCCCTTGCCCAAGGTCCACCCGGACTGGCAGAGGACACCAGGAGCCTGGAGAAGCCCTGGGTGAAACGGGAGCTGTCGGCACAGGGGAAGGACCGTCCATATGCCTGCGGTGAGTGCGGCAAGAGCTTCGGCCGGTTGACCCACCTGAAGACCCACCAGCGAACCCACACGGGTGTGAAGCCCTACGCCTGCGGGGCTTGTGGCAAGAGCTTTGGCCACCTCTCCACCCTCACCACCCACCAACGGCTCCACACAGGTGAGCGTCCTTACGCCTGCGGCTCCTGCGGCAAGACCTTCACCAACCCATCAGACCTCAACAAGCACCAACGGTCGCACACGGGCGAGCGACCCTACCCCTGCGCTGCCTGCGGCAAACGTTTCAGCCAACAGTCCAACCTCACCATGCACCAGCGGAGCCACACTGAGGAGCGACCCTACCCCTGCGGCACTTGCGGCAAGAGCTTCAAGTATTTGGCGGACCTTACGGTGCACGAGCGTTCTCACACGGGCGAGAGACCCTTCCCCTGTCCCCACTGTGGGAAGAGCTTCAGCAACAAATCCTCCCTCGCCCGGCACACGCGCATCCACGCCCGGGCGGCTGCCAGGGACAAGTGATGGGGTTTGGTGATGGGGAGGATGAGGAGGGCTGTGCCGCTTCATCCTGGTAGAGGACGTGGTGTTTGGGGGACCACCACAGGGGATGGTTGAGGTTGGGTGGGTGGGGTGGACCTGCTGGCTGCCCCAGGTGGCCGGTGCAGGTTTCCTCGCCGGCCGGTGCCACGCAGCTGCTGCAGACAAGACTGGTTTGCTCAGAGGAGATGGAGCATGGATGAGGGGATGACGACCTGATGCTTGATGTCCCCCACAAGCCCAGTGGCTCCAGGACTTGGCTCCCTGGCCCCAGAGATGTGAGACAGAGAGGGGTGAAGATGACTTCATAGATGTCTGATGACTGATATCCCCCATGAGCCTGGTGGCTCCAGGATGCGGCTTCCTGGTCCCAGAGGAGATGCAACAGGGATGGTGGGGTGATGAACTGATGACTGATGTCCTCTGTGAGCCTGGTGGCTCTAGGACACTGCGTCCCGGAGACGTAACACGGCTGGAGGTGAAGACAAGCTGATGATTGATGACCTCCAATGAGCCTGGTGGCTACATGATATGGCTTCCTGGTCCCAGAGGAGATGCAACATGGATGGTGGGATGATGAGCTGATGATTGATGTCCTCTGTGAGCCTGATGGCTGCAGGATGTGTCTCCCTGGTCCTGGAGGAGACGCAACATGGTTGGGGGAGAAGACAAGCTGATGACTGATGTCCTTGCATGAGCCTGGTGACTCCAGGACAGCGTCCGAAAGGAGATGTAACACAGATGGGGATGCCAAACTGATGACTGATGTCCCCCGTGAGCCTGCTGGCTCCCTGGTCCCTCACCCACCTCCTCTGGGCATGTCCGTGTCCCCTCCACCCTAACCCCACAGCCGGGATGCCCCGTCTTCCCTTCTGATTGCAACTCGCCTCCCCCCCTTTTGGTATTTATTGATCGCGGCGAGCACCGTCCCCTCCGCCATCCTCCCCG